TTTGACAGCCATGGGTTCTGCAAAAACGAGGGAGTTGAGGAGTTTTGGGACAAGACGTGCAGCTATCAGCTCTCCAGGGAGACTTTGAACCCGGTCAAGAAGAAACCTGCGAAACAAACAAACAAGGAGCATGGTGAGGGAGTCTTTGACATAATATGTAAAGTTACATCTGAGAGTCAACATGAACACCATTCTCAATATTATCATAATTAATAAATATCATCAGTCCAATCAATATTGTGAAGTACAGAGGTGTGCATAGAGCTGGGTCTTAAGCGTTTCCCTTAAGGTAGAAAATGACTGGAGATCAAATGGAGTTTGGTAATCCATTCCACCACCAGAGGAGAAGAGTATAGCTAGAGACTTAGGGCCCTGTTGTGCAGTCGGGAATAAGCACTTTAAATTGGCAGCGCGTTGAGGGAAAGAGTGGGGGTGTGGATGTGAATGAAGGAGTTCAGGTAAGCAGGACTCGTTTTCTTTTAATATTTGTAAATACAAAATATATAATAACTATAGAATGATATTGAAGTCTTTGTCTAAATGTTTACATGTGCTGGAAACTCTGTGTCACTGATTTGAAAAAAAAAAAAAAAGAATTAAATAATGACCACATTGTCTCTTACTTAAAGAATTCATTTTTTTCGTCTTCTGTCTTCAAGGTAAGGCTCTTCAGAAAATTGATCACTTCCAGAAAGTCATTCCTGTTCAATAAAAATACATGTTTGTTTTTAAACAAATCCATTGTAAATTCTGATAACAGCCAACAAAAAAACCAAATAAAACCACACTAACCTAAAAAAGTCATGAGTCAGCAAGGAGCTGAGTGGAGGTCGAGACAGAGGGTCAGAGTTCAGTGGGCCTGCCTGCAAGGTTTTCCTCAAGCTGTCAGACAGCTCCTGTGATGCTGGAAACAGAGGAAAGAGATAGAACCTGTATGTATAGATATAATGTAAAGACTGTGAAGAACATAAGTAAACATACTTTAAAATATTGAAAGGCCATCACTTCACTAACCATAACCATTCAGGAGAGAGAGGAGGCTCTCCACCATCACTCCAAAAGAGTAACAGTCCCGAGAGTGAGCATGTTTATCCAGAAGCATTTTCAAGCCCTCAACCTGTCAACAACATGTTTCATGAGAACTTCTGTGCAATAGAGGGAGTTGGTCATTTTCTGTTTTCATTTGTGGCCTTTAATCTGCTTACCTGCTCTTCTGGAGGAATGCAGCTGGCCTCTCTCACATTTTGCATGCTTGCAAGAAACTAAGTAGTTGTAGAAATAAAAAAAAAACCATCAATGGTTTACAATGAGGGTCTTGACATGTGTGACAGGTGCTTTTCATTTACAAAATTGCATACACAGACTGCACCTTGGGAAATATTTAATTCCATCATTTACCTCAGGTGTTGCTTCAGAGAACTTGCACACGGTCTCCATCCCTCCCAGTTTCCAATTGCCATCGTCACTGACAAATACAGAGGAGATGCAGACATTGTTGTGGCTTGATTTGCCCTGGTGGTGAAGAAATACAGGTTAGAAACTTGTCCTGCCTGTTCACTCACTCAAGGAAAGACAATAAATGGTCTAGGACTACTGTGATTCATGAAAATGTTTTTTTCTATCAACTACTAATAATAAAAAAAGTTGTGCAGGGATCACATGCATCTGGAGATACTACTCGGGGCTTCTTTAATGCTCACCCTCTCATGCAGAAAGACAAGTGCCTGCAGGAGGTCATAGATGCCTGCGCCGATTTCCTCTGGGGAGAGGCTGTCCAGCAGCAGCTCCAGGGGCTGCACACGCTCTGTCACCAGGTGGATGCCGCCGTCCTGCACTGAGCAGGAAAGGAAACGCAGCAGGCATGGGTGCCTCAAAGTTTTGAGGTGCTGCAGAAATTAGAGTATTTGTTTATTTCATATTATGCCATGCAGCCGACAGAAAATCCATTGATGGAAACCCATTATAAACTTAAATCAAACACAAACTGATGGTAGGACACATCATGGAATCAGTGCTTCTTGAGAATTGTAAAGTCATGTTAATGAAACCGAGCAGGAACTGCCGCCACCTCTTATTTACGACTATTATCAAGACGACGCCCAGTCTCACTACCTTCGCAGCTTTGTTTACTTTATCTTCATTGCCCCGCTTGTGAACAAACACGGAAGCGGGCTTTCCATCCTGGAGCATCGCCGAGTGCATGGTCAGTCCGGACGGCAGGGTCAGGAGGGGCTCCTCCAGGGTGCAGCGTCGCACCGCGCTGCTCTCTGCACCCATCGCCACGCTTGTGTTCGGACCTGGAGGACAATGTGGAGGACAGAGGGACGTCAAGCATGCAAGGCAAACGAAGCATTGAAAGCTGCCAGTAGTTTAACACAGATATAAACCACTGTTAAATAGTATTATTAACACACTGATACCTGTTTCACTGCGCTGGGTTGGCCGCTGCGATTCAAGAAGTTAGCTAGCTAGTGTTGTTTGTTGCCTAGCTGGCTAACCTACTGCGCTACGTCAGCCAGCTTGTCATTGCTTCGGTTTTTGGCGACACTTCTGCCTGAATACAACCATGCTAATCGCGTTGCGGCGCTCAATTTCAGTCACTGTTTAAAAGTCGTCAACACTGGTTGCTTGAACAAAACTTAAGATGAATCCCACGTCACTTCTTGTCAGCTCAACGATGCCATCGTGTAGCAAAACATACTCTTAATCATACTCTTCCGGTAAAGGACCAAACCACTGAGATGGGGGAGTGTTACTTTAAAATGTGAAAGAAGAAGTCACTGGAGCAAATGTTCCAATCCTCTTTTAAGTGGGGGGGGGGGGAACTTACTTTTTATTAGAAACCATACTTAAATCACCTTTTAACAAATTTCTACATTAATCGTGTTAATTATAAGTTTAAGAATAATACAAACTCACAAAGACCCCTACCTTCAAACCTTTTGGTTGGGACCAAAGTGGGGTGAGAAAACGCAGGTAGCAATCAGAAATGTGCGGCGGAGGAGACTTCCATATGGCAACTTAAATATGTATGTGTGTGCAGTCTTAGTGTTGGCTGAAGCTCTTGGTGTTGCATAACTGTATTTTGTTTAGAATGACAAAGTTAAAGCCCATTGAGTAAAAGTCAAACCAGTTAAATAATGAACTTAATGTATTAATAAAGGAACTGCTCTCATTATTCTCCCTCCATAGAAACCTGGTTTCTTTGAGCTGTTGCATATGATCCAGTCAAAACAAACCATAATGGATTTTCCTTGAATATTTTCCCATCATGCCTCATGGGATTTTCTATCGTTATTGGATAATTTGGTCTCTATCGGTTAAGTAAACATTAAGCAATTTATATATATATATATATATATATTTTTTTTTTTTATTAGGTGCAATAAAGTGACAAACTGGTGATACACAAATGAGGCACAAAAAAAAAACAGACAAGGTCAGGACAACGGCTCCATAATACAGTCAAATAAAAAAATAAAAAATAAGACATCAATAGACACACATCATACTACGAACAGAAAAACTACAAAACTATATGAAATACCTAAGAAAGGATACAAAAAGTGAAAGAAGCAATACAGAGAGAGAGAGAGAGAGAAAGAGAAGGGGAGGGAGAGAAGGTGCTTAGTAAAGGGGACTTGAGAGGTGGAAGAGAGTTGAAGAGTTGAGCAGTGGTATGTGTTGAATATGTTGATGTTAAACAAAGTTGTGGTGTGAGAGGTGAGAGTTTGTGTAATGATTATGTTTTAGCGGAAGTTGACTGCAGCCGGGGTTTTGGGGTTGTTTTTGAGAAAAAATAAAAGTGTATGAAAATGCCATCACTTATAAATTGAGTGTGTGTGTGTGTTTGTTTGTGTGTGTGTGTGTTGGGTGTAATTGGTGCACAGGAAGAAAGAGTTGATGGGTGGGATGTTGTGGGGGTAGTTATGAGTTGAGGTTGTTGATTATTGGGTTCCAGACAGATTCAAATTTGGCAGTTTGATTTCTGAGTGAGGCAGTTAGTTTTTCCATTGATATATATTCGGTGAAGTAATTAAGTAATTAATATTAATGGATCCATTTATTATACTATGTGAAATAGTGCAGAGAGCACGGGCATTGTAGTGGTTACTTTTCCATTTTTATCACAATTTAGTTTTATTTGTATTAAATTGCTTATCCTTTTCACCTTTTCAATGCGTTAATCAATTTGTAATATTTATAGAAGTTTGATAGGCCACTGTGCCCCATAAAGAAATAAAGATTAAACACCTCGTATAATTTGAGGTGATGGTCATCTGTTGTAAACTGTCACTGTATTATATGGCATACCAGAATCAGAATCAGCTTTATTGGCCAGTTACAGTTGGTTGCAGATCCAAACCAGGAAGTGCAGAGAACAAACTATGATGGCGGTGTAAAACATGATCAGCAGCAGGTTCAACTTCCTGAATTGACGCAGGAAGTGCATCCTCTGCTTTGCACATCAGGTCCCAGGAGATTGTGGAGTCCACAGTAGACCCTGTGCGCTTCAGTATGGTGAGGGGGGGGGGAGTGAAAGGGGGGCTTCTCCTGAAGTCCACTGACATTGCTACAGTCTTGAGTGGGTTCAGCTCCAGATGGTTCTGACTGCATCAGAGGAACAGCTGTTCCTGGCTGTCCGTCACTCTCCTGGATGAGATCAATGACGGTGGTGTCGTCTGTGAACTTCAGGAGTTTCACAGAAGGGTCCCCTGAGGTGCAGTTGTTGGTGTAGAGGGATATACTATCATAAACATACACATGTGTACATGTCAAGGCCAAATCTAATTTCTAAAAAAAATCTAAGTTCTATGATTATATTAGACTCAAGCAAACTTAACAACTGCGCACTAAGTGAGTTGTTGCCATCTCATCTGAAATACTCAGAAACTTCTTGGGTTCCTCCTTTACAAGGAAACAACAATGATTCAATCTATGTTCAGGTAATGCTATGCTCAGTAAGAAATGAAAGAGGGAAAAAAACTTTGTCAGAGGAAGTGATGATTTTGACCAGAAGATAAATTTGGCTGGTTACCTTAGTAACAATCCAGCCCCAAAAAAACAGACTCTCGCAGTGAGAGCCGTAGACAACATGGAAGAGCTGGGTAAGACAACTGTTACGCTTTACATTGCTGATCATCCACAAAGTGTTAGATTTAAAATGGCTGTTATAATTCTTATACATTCATTTGAAGCTGGTTTTATTATCAATCAATGTACAATGAGATGCAGAATTGAAAATAGTAGGCTATAACATGACTGCTTTATGTATTCTTTGAGTGACACCAAGTACAGTGTACACATACACTACGTACAGTACTTAAAAATCGATCCAGTATAAAAAAAGTGGACAATACTTTGTCATGCTGTTTTTGTTTCTTTGTTTTGTTTTTCATTGTAACCTACGTTAAGTCATACTAATTTTGTTGTTAAAAATGCTGTAATGTCAGTATACTACTGGTTAAGAATAATCTGATAAAATAAAGTTTAAAAAGAAAAGGTTGGTCTTTCCTAGTCATCAGAATCTATAGCATGATGTAAAATACAATTTGATTTAATTTATTTTTTGCTAAAAATGGGTTAGGGTTATGTAATGGAGGTTGTGCAGTGTTTTCTGACATGTAAAGACAGACTTCAGTGCTATAACTCTGAACTCGTGTTTCCTCTTATTTTAGTCTGCTTCTCCACTGAGACCTCAAAGAAATAATGTTATGTCTAAGTACAATTTGTGTGGAGGAGAGAGTTGAATTTTAATGTCATAATTGTCGCCAGATTCTTGCAACATTTTTGAAAAGTTTCACTTCTGCAGCATGACAGCAACCACTTCCTGAGGAAGCTGACTTGCATGAAGCAACCTTAAACTGATCCTCCAGCACCTTGATATGTGCATCAAGGAGCATTCTTTTTTACTGAGCAGGAACATTTGTATTTAACAAGCACAAATATTATGTTCTGGTTGAACTGTCAACACATAGAAAACAAAATCAATGTGTTTTAGTGGTTGTTTAGTGTACAGTATCCATGTCTTTATTTTTAATATATCTGAATATGTGTGGTTATAAGATTTAAAGCCTGTATCCTGCCACAGATTTGTTGTTGGAGGAGTTGGCCTTCAATTCAGAGCGTCCAGAGAGTGTCAATGAAAACAGGAGCAATAATCCACCTGATGGAGAGGTAAAGATAGAAGCACAACAATCAAATAGGAAAAATGTTTTTCTTATTGATCAACTATTTCAGTTTAACCTTAATATAATCCTCAAACAAAGATCTGAAAATAAAATGACTGTTTTAAAAAACAATTACATTACCTAGGGACTTTCATGATAGATATGATACATATGATGTTTATTTTGGCTTTGTGTCCACAGGTGACAGGTGATATTTATTCTGCACTGAACAAGAAAGGAAAAGGCCTAGTCTGCTCAAATATCTACAGGTGAAGCCCCTTTTTGAGACTCATGTTGACCCCTGATTGACATTTCATTGAGTAAACCTATTTAGAAGTACTAGGAACTGAAATGAATTCATTGAACAGTATGTTGTAATTACAAGATCTTCTGCTTTTGTTTTTTTTAAAAAAACATTTTTATTTACTGAACAATCTAAGTAATTAATGGCACATTTTAAATAAATTAATTGAAAATTAACAGTTTATTCTCAATAACAATTACTGTATGGCTTTGGTGTAGATTAGTATATTTGAATGTTTATGAATTTAATTTATAATTCAATTTTCTTATTGTTTACCATCAATAATTGCACACATCATAGAATATGTTCCAATACACATTTTTCCTCAATATAGGTTTTTAACAATAATCCCTTATGGTATGTGTGGTAAACTTGGAGGTTCATTTTTAGTTTCTGACATATGACACTTTGTCTTTCCTCCTGTGTGGATTTTAGTGATCTGCCTGCTCCTGTGGCAGTTTCCCCAACCCCCAGCTCACCTACTCAGGAGCTGGAATCCATCCTGCAGGATCTGATGAGCATGGGAGAAGAGGTAGTGTATGTGGACTGTAATTGATTGTCAATATTAATCTATAAAAACATATCCCATTATCACTTACATAAAAAATACATAAAGTATACAGGTTTTTCATTTGGTAAGGTAGAACAGAGGGTGTACTGTGTAGTAGAGAAGCTTTTCGCAAATGAGTGTCATTATCCAGCTTGACAACAGAGGGCAGAATTGCATTAATGTACAAACAGCACAGCATTAACTATGAGAATTGCATTGTAGGAGCATTGTTTAACACTGTCCTTATAAAGACATGAACTTCAGTTATGTCTTCCTACACGGCTAAAACAACATATCTATTTGTATTGTCATCATAGGATCCCGAGTCTTCTACAACCCCACCACCTCTGACACAGAAGCAATCGATAAAAAATAAAACACAAGTTGGGAAACAGGAGAACAAGGAGAGCAGCACAGCAGGTTCAGAAGCGAAGGGTTCGACCTCGAAGAAGAATACAGACGCTATAGATGACCTGCTTGGAAGTCTGAGCTCTGACCTGGAGAAGATCGGCGTGCGCACCACAGCCAAGGGCCATTGTGCGTCCTGCAACAAATGCATTGTGGGAAAGGTATAATAAGTCACATTAACAAATGGGCAAGCTATAAAATCTTTGTCACCCTTACAGATCGAAGACAGAACAAATACCTTTTTAAACAAAATGAAACATTTAAAAACTGGTCTGTTTTAACTTTTCTTTTTCTTTTTTAATCTGTAGATGATAACCGCACTGGGTGAGGTGTGGCACCCTGAACACTTTGTGTGTGTGACGTGTAAGACGGAGCTGAGCACCACAGGCTTCTTCGAGAGGGAGGGTCGACCATATTGCCACAAAGACTACCATCAGCTCTTCTCTCCTACCTGTGCGTACTGCAAGGGGCCAATAATGAAGGTGAGAAAATCTTCTGTTAACTGTTCTGAGTCCAAATCCTACACATAGGTGCCATACCACATTCTCCTTCTGTTCTATATTATATAAGTAAAGATAAGTAAGATTTCATGGTGACAGACGAAACTATTCAGATCTTTTTTATTTATTTATCACATGTGACATTTTAAGTAAAGCATAAAACCAGGTTGTGATTCGGCAGTCTAATTCTGCAGACCAAAGTCATTCATCAGAAACTAATGTGACTTCTATGAGTCATCACTTCATGTAGTTCATTCCTCATTTCCTTCTTCCTCACATCAGATCATGTGAGATGAGACAGATGTTTCTGATTGAAATGTCATATTTTTTTGTCTGGTCTGTTTAACAGAACATCCTGACAGCTCTGGACCAGACCTGGCACCCTGAGCACTTCTTCTGCGCACACTGCGGAGGCCTCTTTGGACCTGAAGGTGAGAAGCTTGTGCATGCATGTATCTTCAAAAAGCAAAAAGGCATGTTTTTTTTTTTTTCAAATGTTTTCTAACTTGGAATTTGTCTTTTACCTGTCCCAGGTTTTCTAGAAAAGGATGGGAAGCCGTATTGTTGCAGGGACTTCTACCAACTCTTCGCTCCCAAGTGCTCTGGCTGTGGAGAGTCAGTGAAGGAGAACTACCTGACTGCAGCCAATGGCACCTGGCACCCAGAGTGCTTTGTGTGCGCGGTGAGCCCTTTACCTCAGACCACACACACGGCTCTGGCTCACGCACAAGCCTGGGAATAAATGAGATAGATACCCACACATTTGCTTTATTCGCAACATTTGGACCACAAGGCTGATGAGAACCTTATGGCTGATGAATACGCTGCGGTTGAAATGATGCAAATAAATCAAGGAAACCATATTCCTCAGTGTGGGTATCTTTTACATTCTATTCCAAACTACTTGTGTATGCAGCATCTGGTTGAAAACGGTTCAGTGTGCAGTCTACTTCTCTTTACCCAGCTACGAGTGATAGATAGACAGAAAATGTTCTCAGTAGAGATGTTCTGACAGAGGGTAGCAACTCTTTTTTCATATTTTATGCTGCTCAAGAAAATCATTCCTGACTGATCATAAACCTGAACATAAAATACATCACTCTTAAAACCTTCCACACAAACAATTGCATAAATTGAATGAACAAAAAAACACAAATATGGCCTCCAATATTAACACCTAACCCATGACTCACCATAACCACAGGAACTGAACATTGTTTTCTATGGAGCAGTCACAATCAGCCAGGTCCCAATTTTACCTGCTCGCAGCAGGTCACACCCTATTGAGGAGATGAAGAGGCCACCCACCTGTGTCCGAGCCTTTTTAATCAACTCTAATACTCTAAATAATTGTACAAGGTAGTTCATAAAATGTCCTACCTTTGTTGATTGCTGCATAGTATTGTTAAGAGTAAAGAGATGTCCATTCCATGAAATGTTACCACAACCCCACAGCAGGGTAACAGGGTCATTTTTTACCTCTTTTTCAAACTGCTGTGACATTTTCAACTAAAGTACGTTGATTATTACAGAACATTTTGATTCTACATTCATTCGATTGTAGTCTGCAAGAGATTTTCTTTTTTAATCGCAATCCCTCATAGTTTTTGCTTGATCATATTTTAAGACACAGTTGTCACAAACACCAACCTTAACAGACCTTTCTCACAGTGGGCATTTTGACTTGTTAAACACAGGCGTTACTCCTGTCGTTACTGGACTGTTCCATGATGGACCTGCTTGTTGTCATGGCTTACTGGCACATAGAAATGGAACCTGGCCATTGCTAGTATTAATATTTAGGCTACACCTGTGCTTTTACTATGACACGTCTGCCAAGAGAAACTCCTGTAGTACACCACAAGAACATTTGCAGCTTCCCTCCTGTACAGACCTGCTCATGTTCCTGTTCTAAGCAAAGTGATGACCTGTGGGGTGCCAGTGCTGCCTTGTCTAAAAATGCTTCCATAACATGAAACGATAGCAAAGGCAAACTGTATCCCCTTAAAAAAATGCTAACAGAACAAAATGACTTTATATTAACTCACATATGAGAGTACATTTGGACTATAATACTTCTTCCTCCATTTTACCAAACGTAACCTTTCCCCTTATCGTCCCTCCTCTCTTCTATCTTTCCCCTCATCGCTTTCCCTTTTCTATCCTCAGGACTGCCTGAAGCCCTTCACTGACGGCTGTTTCATGGAGCTGGATGGTCGACCCCTCTGCTCGCTGCACTTTCACTCCCGGCAGGGGACTCTGTGCGGAGGCTGCGGTGAGCCAATCACAGGCCGCTGTATCTCTGCTCTTGATCACAAGTTTCACCCGGAGCACTTTGTGTGTGCTTTCTGTCTGCGGAAGCTCAGCCAGGGCGTCTTCAAGGAGCAGAAAGGGAAACCATACTGCTCGATCTGCTTTGACAAACTGTTTTTGTAACCGACAGAAAGTCAGCAGATACCTTTTGAATGCTTGATCAGTCACTGTTAAGATAATCATTTCAATATGGCAACTATACTTTTCCAACATTGGATGCATCACATTGCATAATTATTTTTGCTTACGTAAAAGTGAGCAATAAATGTTTTGCTTTTTTTTAGTGATAAGCATGCTGATAGTAGCTGAGGTTGATATGACATTTTAAGAGATTTTGGAGGCTAGTATGATGGAATAAAAATGAGAGGAGTGTAACATGAACTGTGACTCATATAATAAATAGATTATGTGAAAATGCCAAGGGAAAAAGGCTTATTGTAACATGATTAATGACATGGTTGTTAAACACAAGGAAAACACTCATATCCCATTTTGAAGAACTGAAAAAACATTTCACATGTGTGATATTTGGATGACTCTAAAAAGTGTGTTTCTGACACTTGGACTAAATTTTACAGGATGTCATATTTCATGACACAAAATCTATAAATGGAGAAAGAAAAACACAGAGGTGCAGTTTTAATCCATGGTTTCCATTAAGTGATCCTCAGTTTGCCATCAACCTTGGCAGCGTGCAAACCCTCTCTGCAGTGCGGAGCTGTTGTCTGTCTGGCTGATAGCTTGTATTGGCAGTGACTGGCATAGAATCGGTGTGCCAGCCTGAGTTTCCTTTTACTCTGACTTACCATTTGGCCCCCGGCATGCATGTAGGATTCAAACAACCTCCTTATTCTGCACACAGGCTCCTTTATAGATGCCTATGGAAGATTAATGAAGGTGTTGAGTTGAATAAAGGTGGTTTCAGAAGGAGCTCCTTTGCATCACTGCATCTCTTTGGTAGCTCACTTTTGACTGCTGAGGGAAGAAGCAGACGTAAAACATTTAAGGGTTCATTCATGTTTAGAGATGAAGATCGTATGTCTGGCCTTAGTTGTTATGGCCTGCTCTTTTTCTAACTTCTTATGATTAATTGTATGGATGGTACAGTATTTTCAAATGAGGCTCATGAAAGATGGGAAGGTTTGATTTTTCTGTGCAGTGTTTTTGCAGTTTTTTAAATATTCTTTAATATTATTTTACTTTTGTAAATATTGAACAACGAAGGTATGCATAAAGTTACAAAATGCACATAAACCTCTTAATGACAAAATGCTGTCTTAGATGTGATTTGCATAAAGATTTGTTGCTAAAGTTGTTTTCTTTTTGTCTTGTCCATTTTTTTTTTACTTCATTTTTCATTTCTTGTAACTTATACAATCCTATTCACAATTTTTCAATTTTTTCCTTTACTTCCACTTTCTTACAGCTGTATCTGTATATGTTCAATTATAGATAGTTAACTAAATTAGATTACAATAAATCAAACACACTCCATCTTAAAGTATAATGTTTGGAATAAAAACAATTAGAAAAATTCACATAAAAAAATCAAGACAGTCATAAAAAAGGTGGTAAAAAGGAAAGTAAGTGTGTGTGTGTGTGTGTGTGTGTGTGTGTGTGTGTGTGTGTGTGTGTGTGTGTGTGTGTGTGTGTGTGTGTGTGTGTGTGTGTGTGTGTGTGTGTGTGCATATGTATGTCTATGTAGAGGTTTGTTATGTCTATGAGGAGGGCAAAGATACAGTTATTATTTATAATGTGTAGACTGACTCAAATCCCTGCAGATCTGTTTTAAAATATCTTACATCTGAATTGTCTTTGAAACACAGCTAGGAACAATATGACAACTCATAACTATATCAACTGTTTTTTACATCTCTGCAACCTAGTTTTATACAGTTTTTAGATAGAAACCAGTTGCAGCTGAGAAAAAAATAGTTAAAGCCAGCATGGGAAATATCCTTCTGAGGAAAAGTTACATTTGGATTGATTGAGGGATAGTCGGTGCATCAGAAAAGAAAAAGTAAAATAAGTTTGTTAAAAAAACTACAAGATAAGTGTAAAAATGCTGCAGAGCAGTTTTGTAAAACATTGTGTATCCTATAACCTCTAAATAATATATAACAAAAATAATAATGGTTACCAAACTTGCCAAACTTTGCTCAACATTCACCTCTATAGAGTTCAGACTCTTCCCCAGAGTTACACTGTAGCATGTCTTATCTTCACATGAACACTGGCTTCTCCTTGTTGGCCCTGTAGGCGGCTTTCTTCAGCTTTTCTTCAGGCCACTTAGACGTGCTGTGAGAAGTGAGAGTGTGAGTGGGAAAGGAGGTGGGCATTAATCATGCTGTCATCACTGTCAGAGCAGGCCTCTCACAGCCTCTACTGAATATGGACCTCGCATCATGGAACAAGTGTGAATGTATCGTGTTAGGTCCAAAACCAAGAGTGTAAGTGTTTTAATGATCTGTTGCTGTTATTCCTAGAGTCCTATTGAACAGAAACGGTAACGTTTAATGTTCAAACACCTGATAGACTTTCCTTCTCAAAAGATACAAGAGACAGTTCACTTCTTATCATGAATCATAAAACATTGACTTTGATCCGATCTTAGACTTTTTTCATGACACAGAAATGTTTCATTTTCTGTCGTCACATGACATGAATGGAGTTGAAAATTGTTCCATTTACTTTTACAACCGCAGTCACTTGCCTTATAAGCAGCACATTTTCTTAACTTTCATATTCTGACATAATGGCCTCTAACTGGCCATTTTTTTAAGTGTAAAACCTTAGATGCTCAGTCCTTGTGTAGATTCACCCTTGCTGTTAAGTGATTTTTTTTCTTGCAAATTCTAATTCGAAAATATTCCGAGAGAGAAAAATCTGGCATTCAAAGAAGAAATATGAGTGTTATCGTTTGACTGAGTGCATGGGGAGGAAAAGGGTTCTCTGGCACGTAGTAAAAATAAGAAAACATGAAATGTGAGCGGGGGTCTTTTTAAAAGGGTGGCGCATAAAGGGCTGTCTGTGGAAAGCAGAGTGAGAGAGTAACTCAGGTGACATTTACTGCAGTGAAATAGAGTATGAAGGGTCTGAGAGCCATGATGGCAGCTAAAGCTCACTCGGGGAGTGAGGTATATATTGGGACATAAAGAATACAGGTGATGGGGGATGCAGGGTGAGGAGGGCAGGGGGTGACACTGAAACCCAACACTTGCCTCCTCTCCTATAAAATGTCTGTGTCCGCTTGGCCACCCCTGATGGGGTCTGTAGATCTGTCTGTCCGGTACTGTTGACCCCACGGTGGGTAATGCCTCGCTGGTGCTGCCCTGCCTTGTAAACCCAGCAGTTCACTTCAGCTCTGAACCCATAACTGTCAGATAAATCTCTGTTACAGAGTCACTCATTAATTAAAACATTTGCATGTAGACACATGACCCAGCGAACGCCGTCTGGAGACAATTCAAGCTAGTCCTGACAGTTTTAAATCACAGCTCCTGCAGTGAAACATGGAGGGGTCAGATTTCTATGATTTCACTACTGGGCCAGTGTGTACTAATGAACGTAACAGGTCACTACTGTAAGCACTGTTTGCTTTGCAGCTGTTTTGCTCAAAGTTTTTTTCTTTTCTAATTGTTTTATTCCTTTCACAGGAAGTAAAAACATTGTTGTCATCAGTAACTCCCAATGTCTCCTAGTCTGATTTACAATTGAGAGGCTCTTTTAAAAAGGTTTTTAGACCATGCTATTTGACGTCTACATGGTACAACTTGTACCTGGCATAACTGCTTGTTATTCTAGCAATTGTTTCTTTGAGTTATCATTCTGCAAGGATGAAGCACGTGTCTTCAGCCACACTGTGAGGTCATTATGATGACTTCATTGAATGTGTTAAAATGTATTAATATTAATTCATTCTCAGCTGCTGAGTATTTCAGAGGTGGAACCAGATCATCACTGCCACTTCAATGACCAAATATACATTATTTGAAGAACTAAAGTGTCTGAACTTAAAGGATTTGGCAAAGTATGTTTCTTGTTATTGAAGACACATGCTGATGCAAACTTCAGTGCTCCACAAAGGTGAACTGGTAAGCCTGTATGAGCCTGTTAAAGTGCTGAGTCTTCAGTGAATCCAGTGTTGTTAAAAGGCAAAGGCAAAGTGACAACTTCAACACCTCAGTAATTACTTCCACGCAGAGTGAAGCTGAGCTGGAGAGCAGCTCCACTTCTGGGTGTGTTTGTTTTGGCGTTGAACTGAATCTGGTTGCAGGTATCACACCTGATTCATGACTAACTCCTCTGTCCAAAAGGCACTTCTTGTTGTCCTTGGCCGAACACTCAGTGCTGCACACTATCTAACACACACCGGCAGACACACACACGTACGCACGCACGCACGCACACACACACACACACACACACACAAAACTTGCTCATAATATTTGTGGCTTTTCTTTTCATGCTGTTTCTATTTCTAATTTAAACAAAAGCATGCTAGATTTGTTTTTGATAAATGCACACTAAAAAAATTAAAAGTCATGCACATACATACCTACACATATAAATTATTTAAAAAAAAAAAGTTTCTCTCTGCACACTCATCTCTTTCCATCTCTCTCTCTCACGCACACATACATGCCCGTCAATGAAAACTACGCTGAGACACACAGCATATCTGAACATGAATCACTGCCTCCTCTGTGTGCTGGCTGATCCTTAACATAGGGAACTTGAGGTCTCCGGTTATAGGTTAAAGGATGTCAGCTCCCAAGGGAGACACTATGGAAGGTTCTCAAGACAACCTCAAAACTCTGATCCCTCTGCTGCATGTCTTTGTCTCCTCTGTCTTACATCTCCTGCCAAGTCTCTCAGCTGGACCTCTGTGCTCAACACAGACAAACAAGGAGGACAAGAATGAGAAACAGAGCAGGGTGCATTTTATCTGGATCCTACAGTAATAACTGCAAAGAGCAAACTGGCCAGGGCCATGAGAAAGATTTACAAGACAGTGAACTCCTTCCGTGTGCGAGCCTTTAGTGTCAAGAAGACAGATGGTTTCATTATGCCACTTCTTGGTGTCCGTGTGTGTGAACTTTACAGTCTGCCAGAGCAAAACAATGCGTGATAGATTCAGGGAAACTCTTTGTGAGATCGATGGAACTTTTTCAGCAGGTACTTGTTTTTGTTGGAACATGTTTTGAAATGAAATCCTGTAATGACTGGGCCAATTTAATGAGATCTGATGGATGGATTACTCTAGTTTAAGGGCCCATATAATACTTTTTCTGGTTTTATATGCTCTTTAGTGTGTTTTCCAAGTGTCCTGTGCATGTTTAGGCACATCTATTTGCAAAAAAAAAGTCTGCGGAAACGCGGATTCTCCTACGTCCTCCTGTTAGCTGTAGCATTAGCTGCATGTAACGTTCGGTTCTAGCCCCCCTCGAAATTGTTTTGCCAGTGTGACGTCTTGTCAGTGTGAGATCACTGATCTAAGCTCATTGGCTCGTTGTGGAAGCCCAGCAGCTCATGTTGTATGCCCATTAACTTCTGTAGCACGCCCATGATATACCGTAGCCTGCGGTAGCACAGTAGTGCTAAGGTGTTAATGTTTTTGCTCTCATCGGAGCAAACGTGGCTGCATTCCCAATATGGTAAAAGGGGCATGACATTTCCGAAAACCGCGCTGAGCGACCGACCAATCAGATCAGACTTGGCACATGTGGGGACTCTGAACGTGGGCACTTCAGAGCCTTAGAGAGAGAATCAGAAGCGAGCCGGTGCATGGAGCGGCAGAACATGAAAACAGACACTTTTTTTTAACTTTAGCTATAGTGAACATACTTTAGTAGGTACATAGATTAAATATATGAACCCCAAAAAGGGCATAACATGGGCTCTTTAAGAGAAACAGAAGGATGGAGACGGATAACTTTCTCAGCAGCACTTTACTGTCATCCACCTTGTTCTGCTACACAACCACCACAATACTTCCTTGTTACTCATCACATGTCCCGTCGTTGGTTGCCAATCAGAGGTTAGGATGATTAAACTCAAGGCAAACATTATGACAAACACAGAAGTAGATTCAATATCATTTGGTCACAGTTACTAGGTGCTACTGAAAAACTTAAAAAAAGTAAATACATCAATATTAACTTCGTAAACTCAAATATGTAAATAGTTCACTGTATAAATGTTATGTTATTTTTAACTTAAACTTAAATACATGAATTAACTCAAATATATGAATTTAATTCACTTTTAAATCTTACACTACCATCCCAGATTAATAAAAGTGATTGGCCATCT